GAGGCCGGAGGGCTGGGAGGAGGAGAGTGGTGGCTCCCCGAACTCGAACTCCGGGGAGAGGCCCCAGAGGAGGAACAGATCAAGCGGCTCAAACAGCGGAAAAGCTGCAAGGGGGATTTGCCACGCCTGACTCCAACGTCCCTCCAAGGACCAGGACAGCCACCGGCTCCAGGGGCTGGCCAGGACTCCAGGACCATGGCCCTGCACCCATGCCCTGGACACTCCCGCAGAAACTGCTTCTAGGGGAGACCGAGGCAGCAGGCTGGAGGGTGACACCAGGAGCAGTGGAAGGAGACCCCGCTCAGGGGCCCCTCACGGGCCGCGCCCGCAGCTCCTGCCCTGCCCAGCGAGACGAGGGCGCAGGCCCCACCAGCCAGCTCAAAGAGCGCCTTTCTTCAGTCCTGTGGTCAACGGGGCCACCCCCTGCTGGGTTCCAGAAGGTTCTCCCAAGGACATGGGGCCAGACCAGAACCAACGGGGTAAGGAGGGAAGGTGCACCTCACGGGGTCACCTCTCACGGAGAGACACAGAACCCCCTCGGAGCAGAGCCTGGCCAGGCTGCCCACAGCCTCGGCCTTGCCGATGAGGGGCCGCGACATCCCTGCCTCAGCAGACAGCAGGGTGTGGGAGCAGGTGCAAACCGCACAGGCACCCACCCTGCGCCTCGCAGAAACCGCAGCAACAGCCCTGCGCGCCTGGGCCCCAAACCCGGCCGAGCCTCGCCCTTGGTCAGCGTGGCCGGGCTTCCTGGGGCTTGGGTCAGTGACCTGTCACGGCAGGGCCCTGCAAGTGCCGGGCAGCAGCTCCGGCAAGGAGGCTCTGCAGAGGCAGTGAGGGGCTGCGCCTCCCCCTGGATGAGGCTCCCAGAAACTGGCCACTGGGCCATCTCGGGGCTCAGAGCGGTGTGTGATCCCTTCCAGGGGACTCGCGCCCCGTGAGCCCCCGTCTCCCTCCTAGCACCCCACAGTGGCCGGAGGCCAGAGCTGGGGAGGGTGCGGGGGGCTTCACGCTGGCCGTCGCACTGCACGTGAGCGATGAGGGAGTGTTTGCCCGCAGCTGGCTCGGGCCACAGTCCCGGTGTCCAGCTGCCTGGCCCTGCACGCCCTGCCAGGCTGTGCCCAGTCTGCCACGCGGAG